ATCATTGTTTCAGATCAATCCCGAACCATTCAAAAATCGAAATCAACTACATATGCAAGTCATAATACATAATATAAAACTACTCAAAGTCTCAAACTACCGAACGGAACGCTAAAACTCAAAACGATCGGTCGAGTTGTTACACTTACACCAAATCCAATTTTAAATAACCCAATATTCTTGGTATATGGCAGAATATTACTACTTGTACTTGGCATACGTTGTACGTATTGCACGTATGGGCTATCCTTGACCGTTAGCAATTAGCGAGTTAATTCCATTAATTATCATTTAAGTTATGGAAACAACTCAGTAAAGTCACTTTGTTTTATTTAGGACAATAAAATCAATCAATTCTAACTTTGTCTCTTAAAAGTATAAATCTAGCCGGAAAAGCTTATTTCTCTCAATGGATTATTAAATGGCAGCCATGCAGTTTTAAAATTCATTTTTAAATCACAAAACTCATTTATTGTTACCCGAAGCAAAATGAGTTTGCTATAAAATAAATGAAACCGATCAAAACTTGCTCAATTTTTTGGTCTGGGACTTCTAGTTTTGAATTTAAGTTATATTAGAAAATTTGATTGTTTATTCTTCTGGGCAAATGCATTGATTAATCTACCTACTTGTTTTATACTGCTTTGGTATGTTTTTTCTTGAAAATATAGCAAGTGAATTCGCTTCTGTTTTTATCTCCATTCGTGACTTGAGTCACTCAATTAAATTGATAACTTATGATCAATATATCCAAGGGATGAAGCAGCAGGCTTTGTGGAGTGAAGATCAGGTTATGTTCCGTTAATTTTAAGTGTTGGAAAAAAATAAAAGTGGCTTTATTGAGTTATTTCTATAACTTGAATGATCATCCAAGGAATTAACTCACTAGTATATATACACCCTGTTGGAAAAGAAAAGGTTGGAAATTATTAGTTGTAACTTTCTATGTGAGCTCGCTTCTCATTGTACGATTGTACGTTTGTAAATAAGTCTATACACTATGATTTATGGAAAATCAACAGTTAGACGAATCTTTAATACTTTGAAAAGACTGACATAGCAAGGACGACCACACGTCTTCCTTATACTCTAGCAATAGGTACCTTCTCTTACGTTTCTTTTTTCTTTTTGCTTCCAGTTTCTACACAAATTGGAGTACTGGGCCATCCTTTAGAGGAACCCACCCAGAAACCATAAAAATTAAATACTCTAACAAAAATATTTGTAATTAGAAAAGAACATTTAAGCTCTTTGTATAAAGCTCTCGCTATGTACAAAATCTACAGAATGGTCACACTGCATTAAGCCTTTGTAGGCAGTATTACTATGTATTTCTCAAGGTGTTTGCATGACTTAAACTCGTGAGCTTGTGCATGGCTGTAATTATATATTATCGTTGCGTCAAAATTATCCATTCCGAATAAAAAGTATCCGTACGACCAATTTTGTCGAGAGTTACGGTAACAAAGGGATTGTAAAATCTCTCTTTTCGAAGGTGTTGAAAAAGCATCAACTACTGAAAACTACTTCCTCCGAGTCCTAATAGTGGGCGGTGTAGACTTTTGACGTTATTCTAATCTGCATTTAAAATAATCCATGATGCTAATTAAGCATCCCTTGCTTTTACGTCTTATTGACATGGACATCTAAATTATCAGCTTATAGCTTTAGGCTACTTGGACTAAATCAAATTAAGAGGCAGAGAGTTTGTTGTTCTTTGAAGTCTTCCATCTAGATTAATCAATGTGGAATGCTTTGAAATGATATTATATAACAAGAAGTTGTTGACAACAGAAAAAGTAAGCAGCCAAAATAACTGATTGACAATTTCGTGTACAAATCCTGACTAAAGAGTTGGAAAATAGTATCAGAACACTTGACTTGTACTAAATGAAACCTAAAACGGGTTCAAGTTTTTAGTCCCTGATATGCCGCGTTGAAGTCCATCTTTGGGTAATTGTAGAAATCATAACCCCCCCCCCCCCCCCCCCCCCCCCCCTCCCCACACACACACAATTAAAGAGAAGAAAAAAGGACAACAAAATATAGAAGACGCAACATAAGAATAGTTGACATATTTTTTATTTTGACTAATAATACATTTATTGTTTACAGTATTGTTTAACCTCAAAATCGGATAACAATTGAATTTGTAAGTGGTTTTAAAGATACGCAGATTAATTTGACACAAAGCAATAAATTGAATTAGATGGAACAAGTAAAGACAAAATGAGTTCAAATCACGCTAAGAGGATGGCTTTAGCCTTAGTGAAATATTCACCTTGATCTGGGCTTGCAATGGCCAGCAGTGATGAACAGGAAAAAGAGCTAATAACAGAGAAAATAATAATATATTGCCTTAGAGTACGTGTTACAACCTACATTATGAATTATCAGACTCCTTATATATAGTAGGGGAGTCCCACTCTAGGTACAACTCTATAAAAGATAAAAAAATCTTCTGATTAACTGATTGTTGGTTCCCCATCGATACGTGCCAAGATTTCCGCCGTGATATCCGGCCGGTCACGGATATCACGACTTTCTGTTGGTCGTGCTTGATTGCTCGAGAATTTTCTTCGAAGTCATTCGAGGCTAGGACTGATCCCGAACTATGACCCCGATATTCTTGAGGGTAGGGGCGTCATGGCCCCGGACTCTGACTCGATGAGACCTTTGCCTCGATTTCGGCCGCTTGTTATCATGTCTAGAGCTTGGCTTATCATGTCGGGGATCGGGGTGTATCATGAGCCCGATTTTACCCTATACAGGTAGTTCCCTCGTTTCTCAGAGAGACAATGACGAGAAACGACATGAGCTCCTAATTCCTACTTCGATACGACGTGACAGAAATGACAAAACATCCAAAATGTCCCATCAGTCAAGTCGTAATGGCATTAATGCATGTCAGTCGCCGGTCGGCTATCCCTAGATGCGAAACGTCGCTGAACTCGTATAAATACTGCCTCTTTTTTTCATTTTCACTTTACACCAAACATTCTACCCTCGTACCCTTATGATTTTAATACTCTGTAGCACTTTTACCCCCGTTATTCAAGGTCCTTTGCTAAAAAAAAGTTTACCCATCTTCTTCTCAAGCCAATAAGTCAGATCCTTTAGTTTCATTTGTTTCTTCATCTTTTCCATATTTTCCTCTATTTTCACTTTCTAAAGGAATGGAAAAGACTTCCAAAACTGTTCCCCAGAAAGAAACTCCTTCCACTTCACAGTCGGCCACTAAGGTCGAAGAGACCACTCCGGGCGTGGACGTTGATGAACCAGCACCCGAACCTTCTTGAAATTGTTCATCCCCGAGGGATGCTCGATCAATGACGATTTCAAGGTTTAAAAGCCTTCCTCTATACAGGGTCGGTGTGAGAAGGTCTCGAAATACATCTGCTCGATTACCGAAAGATCCTCCCTATGGTCCGAAAAGACTACAGCTGGGCCGATAAAAACATAGTGGTCCCCGACCCCGAGGAGGCCATTACCACCTATGTCGAGGGATATCTGAGTGTTTACACTTATCCCTTTACATTGGAACCAGTGGACCCAGTCATTATAGATTTCTGTAAGAGATACGAGGTATGCCTCGGTCAGATTCATACTTCACTGTGGAAGATCGTGATCCTCCTATAGTTTTTTGTGAACAAAGTTGGCTCATACCAGTTTACTGTGGATCATCTACTCCGTTTGTACAGACCCCGAAAATGTTCCGAAGGGGACAGATAAAGCTGGTGCACCGGGCCAGCAAGGACCCATTCTCAAGCATCGACGAGGACTGGGATTGACGCTGGCAAGACCATTTTGTCCGGGTGAGGACTTCGGACTTGATTCTGACTGAATGTAGGCTATTCCCCGAGAAGTGGAATGCGTCACGTATGTAAAACTTTCCTCCGAGCGTTGATTTTATGTTCACTTCTCTTTTTCCTTATTGGTATTCGTGGTGGTGCAGTCATCGCTCGAGTCCTAAATGATGTCCCTCGACTCAAGGATTGGGTCGAAGGTGTCGTTTCAAAGATGCCCTACTCCGAACACTCGTGGCACAAACTTTCTAAGGGTTGTTGGGAGGGCCGTTGCCATAGTAAGATTCCCTTCCTGAGTAAGTTGTGTAAGGCTTCTTCTTTTAATATCAAGTCCTTATTTCCTTTACTTTATTTCACAGGTTTGCCTAATGACATCGAGTTTAGGCCTTTAGTTGGTGGCGAGGACTTTCCTGTTGAGTCTCCTGCTCCGAGGCAGACCGGAAAGAAGAAAAGAAAGAGGGCTCTGAGTTCCCCGAGCTCAGAGAAAAAGAAAACGTGAAGAAGGCTGGTGCATAAGCCAAAGGAAAGCACCAGCTCCCAAGTGCACGACTCGGACTCACTCCTCTGGCTCAGGGACGAGCCCGAGGAGGATGATTTTTTCAGGCCTGGTCCCACAAGATTGAGGACCTTCAATCCCAATTGGTCTTGGCTGTTGCCGATCGGGATACCCTCGCCAAGGAGCTTATGGTAGCCAAGTCAGTGGATGAGATAACTAGGGTCGATGCTAATGAGGTGGTGGCCCAATACAAAGCTGATGCGAAGGCAGCTCAGGACCGTCTGAAAGACATCGTTAAATATGTGAAACAGTATTCTCGAAGGGAGGCTCTCAAGGAGGTTCATGCCCGAGGTTTTAGTTTATCCACCGAGATCGAAAATGCTAGTGGGCTCAAGGCCGAGACCAAAAAGTTGGCATATCCCTAGGACGAAGAAGACTCCGAGGGTTCTGGCGGATCTGTGGGTGGAGAAGACCCTGATGGTCCCAATGACGAAGCTGGCTCCGGTTAAGACCATGCTGCTTAGGTGCCTTGTAGATTTTTCTTTGTTTTTGCACCTTTGTACTTTTTGTTGAGGCCGTTTGGCCTTTGTAAATATCTTGTGCTATGCACAGGCCCAACACAATTAACATAGTTTTTTGAAGTCTTCTAGTAAAGATTTTTACCCAACCTTTTGAAGAACACTATATTACTGCACGATAAAAAAATTATTTCATGCACCATCACTTAAGTTAAAATTATGCAAATTTGAGAGTTTAAAAACAAAATATATCTTCTAAAGTTGATACAACTCTGTTTCTGTTCATCTGAAACCATAATCCGTTTGAAATTTCAAATACATGTGATGAGAACTTTTTAGGATAACTTGAACTTTTTTCTCCCGTTTCAGTGTAACCTGCAATGCATTTTAAACAAAAATTATCCAAACCTTTTCTTTACATTATACATAGGAAAACAAAACAAACTGCTATATGGTCCAAAGTCTAACATCATTGTGAAAGAAACAATATCACCACAAAAATCTCCACCTGACATTAAGAATTAGAAGTGCACATGGTCAGAGACGCACACAAGCAATACAGAGATCAATATTTTGGGTAAGACATCAGATAAAGTTTCTTGTTTATTCGACTTTTTTATCATCATATATGCGAAAAATAACATTTATCAAATACCACTGAAGCCATGACAAAGAACGCTGGAAAATTTATAGATTTGGCCAAGCCTCTCCTTCAACCGCAGTTCTATCCTTCCCATTAACAAAGAAAGAAACAATGTCCTATGAGGTAACAAAGTAAATCAAAAACCTTTGTCTTCCATGGAGGAGGAAGATTCTTCTTCTACGCCAATTTTACCTCTTCTCCATTATCTAGCCCTACTATTTATGGTACTCTAGTAGCAGTAGAAATAACCTTCTTCATGGGATCAATTCAGTAACTTTTAACTGCCCAGCAGATCAAAAGCTCAATAGTTTGTGACCCATCCAAGAACCCTACAACCTCCAATGTTGTAGCAGCTTATTCCAAGTAAGGTTTAGGGATGTTGTCCATGGAAACAGAAAAGTAGTTCACGGAGCCGATAATTTCACAAAAAGCAGCAGTTTAGCCTTCTAAGAAAGAAAACTTCTCACAATTCAACATCCTAGAGGTCTCTTTTGAGCTCTGCTATATCAAAAGAATGCTAGTCCCACTCATGATGCTACTCCCTAAGGCATGCAATTTTGAAAGATGTTATAGTGTCACATGATAGTTGGTTCGAGCAGGTAGGCAGTATGATAATTTTACTATATAAATATTGTCTTCAATTTATATTTTTCATCCTCTTCCTCTTTAATATCCCTGTGAATTTGTAGTTATAGTGTGAAAGTTTTAACAAATTATTGATCGGTAAACTAAAATCGAACCACTCTAGGCCAACAATATGCGACTTCTGCGAATCCGGAGAAGTGTTTCCAAAAATTGAAAGCTTGAAAGATCATCAAGCAGTTATGCATGCTGGTAATCTAGAAATGTTTATTCTTTTTTCTTCCTTTATGCTTTTTTTCTCATTTGCTTTCGAAATACGGTCTCACTCTGTTTATATCCTCAGATTTAAGTCCATTTCAGTTTAATCTACTTTTCTTGGAAAAATCACTACTTGGGAGAGTCAGATTTATCAATATTTCATAAAATCAAATCACAGGACAGGGTCTCACATGCACATGCTCAATGTAGATAGTCCATCAAAAAAGAGCCAATAAAGAGCTATAAGACATAGTTAAAGGAAGATAGTCTCAGAGAAAACCAACTTATTAAGTTCAAAACCAGCTTCATGCTACCACATTATTATAGGACAGAGACTCCAAAAATAAATCAGAGAATATAACAATACCTCAAGAATCAAGACAAAAGAAAATTACTGTTTGCACTTGTATGAGGAAGTAAGGTTATTGAATTAACCTTTCAATATATTTTTTGCTCGCTTTTCCCTGGATGACTAAATAGACATTGCCAGTGTTGCTGCAATTTCAGCAATTTCAGAAGGTCTGAGCTCCATGAAGCCAACATCTACCCTCAATTATAATCCAATCACCAAATTAAACACACTAAAGATCTAAAGACCAGATGTTGTAGTAGTAGTAGTAGTAGTTGGTTCACCATATTAAAAGACTCAAGTAAGGTGAAACCTTTTATTATACTTGGTAACAATTGTGTTGATCATGAAAATAAAGACCACAGTTGTATTTGATCACTACTACCTTTCTTAGTAAAAAATTAAAAGTGCAAGGTGTATATGCACTTCCACTTCAATATGCTTAACTACCCCAAGAGTTGATTATTTTTAATAGTTTGATCTTCAAACACAAATTTAGGCTCCACGATTTTAATATTAGCTGCACAATCAAATTCAAATAAACTTAATGTAACAAATAGAGAAAATATATCTCTTTTGAATGATAGATTTCAGTGGCACCTGATCATCAGCTAGAGGAGCATCAATCTCTTTCTTAGAGGAGTATCATCCTTTTCCATTTTGGCAGCAGAAAAAAGGCCATGCTACTTTTCAAATTTTACTTCCCTATAAATTCCAGAAAAGCAATTGAATATAGTGCAGAAAAAAATTAACATTTAAAAACAAAATGTTGCAAATTAAAAGAGAAATTGTCATATAGCTACAATTGGCATGCATGCAATTTCAGGAAATTTCTACAATACAGATAACATCTACAACAATCAGTGGTGTTAAAAGGCTCACCTTGCACTTTTGTATCAGGGAATATGCTTTTTTTTTTTCTTGAATAAAGAACTTCAATGTTCTATTTTGTGTGCTGATAATGGGTAGTGACTGATTTTGGCGTTGTATTTGTATTGAGCAGTTGTTCTTGGATAAAGGCTGCAACTTTAGTATTGAAGTAAAAAAAAACATAGAAAATACTTTACCTCTAGATTCATATTAGCAATTGACTTAGCTTTCTTCTAATAGTTTTTTAATATATATTATTGGATTCAAGATTTCTAACTGAACAATAAAAACCATTAACTTGACACCATGATTGTTATATCAGTCTACATGTTGCACATATAAATAAGACAAACAACAATAAAAAATATTTCCAATAAAATGATTTCTTTAGTTTACAATAAATCATATTTTTATATAGAATAATTTAGAATTAGAAAAAATTAACATACATATTTAAGTCATAGAAAACCTACCTTAAATATCAAGTCTAAGTTTATTGTCATTGCAAACTACACTGTATTCTTCTTCGAACTGGAGTTAGTCGAAGCACAAATATCTCATGAACTTTACCAACAAATTCTCAATTGCATAGCATCAACAGATCCACTTATCTAACCTTTGTTCTATTCATGGAGTAGCATCTCTTATGTGGACGAAAAAAGAGTCCTCTCATATTCAGAACCGGTAGGAGTGACTAAACTATGTCTGTTGTTTCAAACTCCCTTAAAGATAAAAAATAATCATCTAACATATTTATGGGTCATTTTTATAGGAGCTGATAGCAGGAGTTAAATTTCTCCAGAATAAAGCCGAAATTGAAATAATGTTGCACCTAAAAATAGTAGTCATTGACAAGGACTACTCCCCTTAAAAGCCGCCTCACTCCAAAATTTGCTAATTTCTTAGCTACAAATCAAAAATAAATATATATTCTGACATATACACTAAGTATCTATTTTGAAAAATCGTGAGCAAAATACAAATTACTAACATGCATGTAAGAAATTTAACAGAAAATTTTAAGATATGAAGAAAATCAAACCGGATCTATCAAAATCACATCACCAAGAAATGGGTGCAACAAAGAAAGAAGGAGAATAAAGTAGAATCTACCAAAATTCACAAGTACAATAGAGTTACATAAGAAACTACAAACCAATCAATCAAAAAAATTTACAATTTAAAAAATTGAAGAACAGAAAAGAGTATAAGAAAGTTAAGATACTCACAAACAGAGATGGTCTTCTAAATGAGAGAGAAATTGTGAGATGTGAAGTACTACTATAGACTATAGTTGAATATAAGTGCAGTACACATGGTTTGCTCAAATTAATAGTAGCTTGCAGAAAAAGACCAAAGCGAAGAGCCTCGCTGAAAGAGTGAAGACTGAGAAAATGGGATAGGGGAACAATGAAATAAAAAATGAGAGAAAATAGAGTTTTACACACAGATGAATACGGATGGACACGTGTGTTCCCTTAGTGAATTCATGTGTTTCTATAGAAATGACCGTAATTACTAATTCAACCCTAATTTAAAACTAAATTTCAGGTATTCCTGTGTTTGTCCCATGTTCGTCCCACCAAAGTCCCGTTTCTATATATTAGTAAAGTAAAATCTAATTTTCCCTGACAATTTTTAAGCTCGTTTCCTTTTGCTCTTTTATGATTGCAAAGATATCGAATGTCTTAGCATTAGCATGTAATAATTGGGTCTTGTTCAGAGGTTTGAACAGGCCTCGTTCTTGACATTATTTTGTTTAAGACTCGTGAGGGGGATCGGTACGACCGGAAGTTTTCCCCAAAGTATTTAGAATATTTTAGATTATAATTTACGAGGGTAGCCTTTTGAACCGGTTAAGAAATTTTGAAGGCCTTATGTTTTAGTTACGGGTCCGGACATCTCCGAGTCGTTTTAGGATGACCATAGGCTTTTTAGTTCGGATGTTGCCCAATGGGCTTGTTACCCTAAGTCATCTGGTCTTACTCAAGACAACCGTCCACGAATGGGGATGGTCGTAGCCTTTAAAATTCGGGCACTTCCTAATAAGCTTTGTGACCCCAGGCTTCGATATCCCGGGTCATCCGAGCCTACCTTGGACGATAGTCCCTGAGTGAGGTGCCCCTTAGGCTCGATGTTTTTAGGGGACCAACTGTAACAAAGAAAAAAATTAAGGGACAAAATATTTATCCGCAAGGTAGAAACTTCCTTTTATTTTTGTGCATAATATACAAGATTAGACATGTGTAAAAGATTTGTGTTAGGGCTCAGGTGGTTTATGTGGGCGCGGTTCATTTGACTGTTTGGCTCTTACAGTAAATCCTATCGATCGAACCTAGACTGTTCGAGCACAAAGATTCTTTCCTTGCTAAAATTATTATCCGAGGTCGATGCCCCCAGTATTCGATGGCCGATCATAGAGAAGCCTCGGATACTATTGATGTGATCCTTGGCACCGGTTCATAGACGATCTTCAATTCTAAGTTAGCACGATCCGTTGTTGCCTCGTTATAAACCTTGCCAAAAAATTCATTTGAGACAAAACCGGTTCAAGGAAAAAAGAGTGCAACGCATGCCTTCAGGAGAAAAAGTTGCATCACTTCTTGAATATTACCTGCAAATGTTAGTCCAATATATAAATAAAAGAAATAAATAGGGTTTTACCTTAACATTAGTATCATTTCAAGTGAGTTACGTTTCAATTGTTCGGTAGTCGCTCACCATTTATTGCTTCAAGTTTGTACGATCCCTTTCTAGTGATCTCGATAATTTCATATGGACCTTCTCAGTTCGGCCCCAGCTTCCTTTCGTTCGGGTTCCAGTTGCTTAGTGTGACCTTCCTTAACACCAAGTCCCCAACATTTAAGTGTCGAAGATTGGCTCTTCGATTGTAATACCTTTCGATCTATTGTTTTTGTGTAGACAACTAGACGAGGACGGCCTTGCGCCTTTCATCTAAGAGTTCTAGGCTCGTATTCATGGCCTCGTTGTTTGACTTTTTGGTTGCATATTGGAACTTGCGACTCGGTTCTCCTACTTCGATTGGTATTAGTACTTCGGCGCCGTAAACTAATGAGAACGGGATGGCCCCAGTACTGGACTTCGAGGTCGTACGGTATGCCTATAGGACTTCGGGAAAGATTTCTTTCCATTTTCTTTTCGCGTCGGTCAATCTCTTTCCGAGGTTTTGGAGTATGGTTTTGTTCGTGGACTCTGCTTGCCTGTTCCCACTAGGGTGGTAGGGTGTTGATAGGATTCTTTTGATCTTATGGTCTTAGACAAACTTACTCACTTTGCTGTCGATGAACTGCTTCCCATTGTTGCACACGACCTCGGCCGTTATTCCAAACCAGCATATTTTGTGGTCCTAGATTAAATCAATGACCTCCTTCTACCTGACATTCTCAAACTCTTGGGCTTCCACCCATTTAGAAATATAATCAGTCATAAATAATATAAATTGACCGTTATCGGGTGCCCATAAAAAGGGGCCGATAATGTCCATCCCCCACTTCATGAACGACCAGGGTGATAAGATCGAATGCAGCAGCTCCCCGGGCTGATGAATCAACGGAGCGTGCCTTTGACATCCGTCGCATTTTTGTATGAACTCTTTCGCGTCCTTTTCCATGTCGATCCAGTAGTAGCCGGCTCTGATTATTTTCCAAACTAATGATTCGGCACCCGAATGATTTTCGCAGGTGTCTTCATAGACTTCCCTCAAAACATACTCGGTGTCTCTTAGTCCTAGACATATTGCGAGTGGGCATCAAACATTTTCCGGAACAGGGTACCGTCTTCAGACAAGCTGAACCGGGTCGTTTTCGTACGTAGAGCCCTCGATTCCTTAGGATCCGAGGGCAATTTTCCAGTCTTCAACTATTCTATATATTTGTTTTTCCAGTCCCAAGTTAGGCTTGTTGAGTTTATCTCAACGTGACCTTCTGGCACTATCGCTCTTATGAGTTGTACAATCACCCCTGAGTTGGACTCATCATCATTGACCGATGATCTCAAGTTAGCGAGAGCATCGGCCTCGCTGTTTTGATCCCGAGGCACATGTTGTAGGGTCCTCTTCTTGAATCGATGTAATGTTACCTATAGTATATCCAGGTATCTTTGCATTTGTTCCTCCCTGACTTCGATCGTCCCATTAACTTGATTCACTACAAGGAGGGAGTCGCACTTAGCTTCGATCACCTCTACCCCCAAGCTTTTGGCCAGTTTGAGACCTGAAACCATGGCCTCATACTCGACCTCATTGTTAGTCAATTTTACAGTCCTAATAGATTATCTAACTATACTACCTGTTTGTAGCTTCAATACTATGCCAAGTTCGAACCCCTTCGCGTTCGAGGCACCATCCGTAAAGAGGGTCCAGATTCCTGAAGAAGTCCTCGAGTTCAACAACAACTCTCTTTCGACCTCGGGTATTAAGGCCAGCATAAAGTCGGCCACGAAGTCTGCCATAATTTGAGACTTAATGGTGGTCTGAGGTCGATACTCGATATCGTATTAGCTAATCTCTATGACCCATTTAGCCAATCGTCCTGAGAGTTCGGTTTTATGCATTATGTTTTTCAATGGGTAAGTAGTTGCAACATATATAGGGTGGCATTCAAAGTATGATTTTAGCTTCCTAGAGGTGCTTTGCCTAGCAAGCGCCAACTTTTCTAGGTGAGGATACCTAGTTTCGGCCTCGCCTAAAGTTCTGCTAACATAATAGATAGGAAATTGCATACCTTCTTCTTCCCAGACCAGGACTCTAATCGGGTCCAACCCTATACCACTATAGAATGGCAAGAGTGGTCGATGCAGCTTTTACCCGAAAGGTCGGGATCGAATCCACAGAGAGCTAATATGGGTTTGGAATTGGGTTTCTATCTAATCTAGCTATGTGCAATGTTCTTAATTACACTTCCAATCATGCTTTGTTTGGTTAATATTATACTTTTAACACTAATTAAGAATGAGAATAAGCTAAGTATGATATTTTTGTAAGGTTTTCTCAATTGGTAAAAAGGCACTAGGGAAGTGACTTAACCTTGGTGAGTATCTAACGGGGTCTAAAACTTAGGGAAAACTTTTTGTAATAATGATCATGATATAACCATTTCACATAGTTACTCACTCTATAACTCTTGATAGTTTGAGTGACTTTGCCCTAATTAGCTTTCTCAAGCCTAATTGGGTGTTTAAACAATGCAAGCAAAATCGGCTCAATTCGGGTATTACTATCTCTAGGTTTAACCCTTTAATTGAGTCTATCAATCTCTTGAATGCACTCCAATTTTTTGTTATCCTAGATTTTCTAGACTTACTCTCTCTTTCTCAAGAAGAGCCTAAGTCTAAAAGGCACAAATCAGTGTTTGCAACTACCAATTCAACAATTAAAGCATAAATCACGCTAAATATCATTAACCCATAAACATTTAAGCCCTAAAATTGAAGACTCATTAAATACCCACACTAGGGTTGGGTAACAACCCTAGAATAGGTTTAGCTACTCATAATCAAAGAAGAAATCAAAGATGGAGATGAAATATAAGCCATAAAAAGTAATTACAAGAGTAAAATCTAAGATTAATTGCTAAAGATGTTCTAAAATTACTCAAAAAGGTAAAAAAAATGGTTGTTCACGTGCTCCCCAAACAACAGATGACCTAAAAAATTAAAGAAGAACTATTTATACATAGCTAAATTTTCCAAACAAAATTGCCCCTACGGAGATTCCGCTAAAAGCGGAAAATAGGTCGCCTCAGCACTATGACTACTGCGGCTGCGAAATATGATCGCGGACCGCGCCTTTCAATTTAAGCTCCCAACTAATGTTCTCTGATTCTTCATTCAACTGAGGGAGACAATTGGGCCGCGGCCTCGTCAGATGATACCATTGCCGCACAATTTCACTGCGGGCAGCGGTGACTCTTAAGGCCAGAATATGACTCTTTGAACCTTGCCACCACTGAGGGCGTTGTTAAGACCACCTCAGCAGTGGATCCTCTGCGTCTACATCTATTTCTTCTCCATCAGCGGCCTTTTGACTCAGCTTTGAACTTGTGCAGGTTTTACTCCTTTTTGAGCTGGTTATGACTTCCTTGTCTCTTTTTGACCAAACACTACAAGCAAGCATAATAAGTTAGCTTTCAGGAATACTTGTACATACTTTTAATCCAAAACCTAAGCAAAAAGGAGCATAAAATAGGCTAGAATCCCTAGTTATCAACTCCCCCAAAGTTAAGCTTTTGCTTGTCCTCAAACAAATAATGTGATTCCCACCTCCTCAAGATAAAAGAAAGGAATATTTCAGCTGTCCTAAAGTAACCTCATCAAAAATCAATTGGGACTAACAATTACCCTCAACTAAAATGCATTATTAACAATACACAAACTTTTTAGCACCATGGCTTTAGTGCG